GAATTTGGATGTACATTGGCGAACATTCTGCACTTGCCCCCTAATTTCTCAGCGAATAATGTGTTTGCCCACCCGAACAATACCACACAAACAATGATGATTTAGGATTTGCGTTGAAAACTTCAATAGCTGATTGAGGTGTAAATCTATGAAAATCTGTGTGTTAAGCTCCCGCACCAAATCCATCTGCCTGGGGAAGATAGGGCCTATCAGACCCAGCAAAGCGGGCAGCTTTTCCTCTTTACTTGGTAGGACCTGATCGTTATCGGTAGGCCTTCTTCAGCTCCCAGTTCTTAGTTTATTATCCGGGACAAGCCAGGATGTGGATGGAGATGAAATTACAAGTGCATGCGATCAATAGCCCCCAGCTTAGGTCTGTGGGCAGATGGCACCAATTCACAATCACATCAACCCCACAAACTTTATTCCCAGGACTGCAATGTCTCAGCATAGGGCAGTGTGATGGTGTTGATAAATAGGTTGTCCGATGCTTAGTGGTGGAGTCTCTATTATGGTTAATGACATATGTGTGTATATGTATTATATATGTACACAAGTTGTCTATAGGAAACTGGCACAAGATGGCCCACAAAACTGCAAAACCAAACCAGGTAACCTGTGTAATAACTCCGGTCTATCTATCTATCTATCTATCTATCTATCTATCTATCTATCTATCTATCTATCTATCGATTGATATAGAATAACACACACACACACACACACACACACACACACACCATACACAAGCACACACACAAACATAGGTTGAACTTGATGGACCTGATTCACTATGTAACTATATCTGAATCTATTGGCCTGATTTATTGATGAAGTTCAGAACCCTCACATTATAAATTGTGTACATATATTCACTTTAGTTGTTCAATCAAGTGCAGATGAAATAAACAGGAATTTGAATTTCACATTTTTGGATAATGTGAAATTAATTCATGAATAGTGAGGTAAAGATTCTGAAATCCTTCCGTAAATCAGCCTCTATGTGTATACATCTCTCTCTCTCTCTCTCCCTCTCTCTCTCTTAGCCCAAGGTGTCAGGAAGCTAGTACTTGTTTAATGTGAAATTATATATTTATTATTATTTAGTCATTTTTTTAATAATCACTTACAGGATGTTGGAAACTTTGTAGCTACAAGAAGAATGAACAAAGTGGTCTGAGGATGGATAACTGCAATCCAGCTCTATCTATCTATCTATCTATCTATCTATCTATCTATCTATCTATCTATCTATCTATCTATCTATCTATTTCCCTTTCTCTCTCTTTCTCTGTCTTTTTCAGGCCTGTAGGTGTACATACACACGCAAGGCTTTATTGCTAGCAGTAGTCGATCAGCATTGTGCAGTCAGAAGAGGCTTTGTGCCTGGATTGTGCAGTTTTGCTCCAAGGTTGGGATTCCAGGCCAGTGTGGAGCAGGACTCTGGTTGGACGTTGGTGCCCCTCTAGTGCTCTGATTACCGCGGTTAGCTAAGCACAACTCTCTATTCGTGTGTATTCATGCAACTCTCATTGAGCTGCACATCACACTGGCTTGGATTGAGACTGCTAGGAAAGCATACAACTACAAGGATGGCTATATACAGGGTGCATACACACACACAAAGCCATGTGCTGACACACAACACAATGCTCTCACAATACACACCACACACACACACGGTCAACATGCACACTATTATACCGACTTTTTGTATTTTGTACTTCACCTACTATTTGAATGTTATGTACTATCACTTTGCACAGAAAGTCATCAAAACACAACCCAGCCACCCATCATGGATACAAAATCCTAACACAACTGTATTTCTTTATATATAGCATACAAGTCTTGTAGCCTGAAAATTGGAGTTGCGTGACAAACAAAAATGAAAAGAGAAGACTTGCTGGGATTTATAGTCCCACTCCAGCTTTACCTAGTTGGGGTGATAGCTCCTGCCTGGCACAGCTGACAAAGAGCACTCACTAAATACGTGTTTGACACAGATCAGTGTGACATGGACGTGTGTGACCCAGAAAAGTAACAGAACGTTTTCTACTAAACACTTCAGATTGAAGGATTAGTGTACAGAAGAGTAATAAGATCATATGCAAATTAGTTATAAAATCCTACACAGTAAAGGGACAGAGCCAAACTGTAACAGTGACATTATAACGTACGTAAATAATATCTGAATAGTACACAGTAGTGTGGTGCAATAAGCAATATTGCAACAGTACACAGAATAGTAATACAGTCATATATGTCCATCTCGCGCTCTTCTCTGCGTCAACGCTGCTTGAGTGTCCGCTGCCAAGGCAGACGCGTTTTATTTTCTTCCTTTCTAAGCACAGGTATTATAGCGAGTGAAATAATTAGCCTGTGAATCCTTTTGGGCTTTGTGCAGAGAGACAATTTGAAGCTGGTAGCTAAACACTGGCTCTTAATAGAACTCCATCTTTGCACTGTGTAACATCCTAATTATTTGTTATGAATATGCCAAATGCAAACAAATTATGGGCTAATTTTTAATTAACAC